CCGTGGCACAGGCGCAGGGCTCGCTCAGTCTGAGAGGCTGCAAGTGTTGCTGCTAAAGGCTGCGGCGGACCCGGCTGAATCGAGGATTCTCAGCTAGAAAGCAGATTTGGGATCGCAGATTGGGGGTTGGCGCCAGGTGGGGTTGGGAGGAGCCGCGGCTCAGGAGCTGGTTGTTGGGGATCTGAGAAGAAGTCACCGCCTTGAAGAAGTTCCTCGGCCTCGGGAGCCAGGGGCCAAGGAAGAGCAGAACCTCAGGTCCCGGGCTCCATAGACCCCGTGGACACTGCTTCCGGGCACCGAATCCAGGGCGTGAAACCGCGGAAGATCCACAGGGCGGCTGTCAGGCGCGATACCGCTGAGGTGGAGCTGCCTGGTGCGCGGGAGCGGAGACCTGGACACCCGGGGCAGGCCACACAGGTAGCGGGGCTCGGCCCGGGGTGGGAGGGTTCCCTAGGCCCGGCTTCCCCACTTGGGACGGGGCCTTGGAGGGCGCCAGGCACCCTCGGAGCGGCGGAGCCAGAGGAGGCTCAGCTGCTTTTCATCCCTCCTAATTCCCCGGCTGGAGCACTTGATGGAGAGTGTGAGTGATTTAACTCACAAAGTTAGGCATATTATACAGTGGTGTTATTGTAACGTTCACGTTTAAAACATGATGTTTTATACATTACAGCCGGTCCCTACTGAGAGCTCATTCTGCGATGAAAACTACCGGGAATCATTTTCAGCAGGCGAAAATTTCTCAGGTAAAACTGCCCGTTTTACATAGATCGGTTCTTTACTGAAGGGTCTTAGAGGGAAACTTGGAAGTGGGAGGTGGGTTTTGTGTTCTTGAATGAGAAGACACATTTTTCTCAAAATGTGAGCTCTTTCTGTGTTCTATGTTTACCAATTTTACATAAACCGAACAAAAATATCAAGATTTTAGCATTTTTGCACGACACCTGCTGTCTTTTACTATTGTGATGACATTTTAAATAATTTTATAATGGACTGAAAAAATACTGGCTTCTTTAGATATTAAAATGTGCTATTTCCGTAATTGTTTACTAACTGCTGAAAATACAGATAAATACATGGAACAGAATAGGAAATCCGGAAACACTGAAATGATATAAGACATATGTAAGGATTAGTAATGTTAACAGATATGAATAGGAAAGGATGGATTATTAATGAAAAAATGCCTGCTCTTTGAAGAAAACTAATGAAGTTTTGTATCACAAACGTGAGTGCCTGATGGAATACAGATTGAAACTTTCACATTTACGATGAGAAAAGTACCAGCAGAAAACACAAATGCTTATTTTACAGGTATATTTTATGTTGACAAAGGCCTTCCTAAGAATGACCTCAGAGGCAGGTATTCTGAGGATTGATTTAGCAAACTAAAAATTAAAACTGCCTGTGTATCAGGAAAAAAAAATGAGAAATTAAAGAAAACATACGTGAAAAGTATTTACTATATTATATATATATTCAGATGAGAGGTGTGTTTTCATTTTACAGGGGATTCATTATATATCATGACATGTATAGGACTGGTATGTATAGCATATATATTACATATATAATGTTGTATGTATATCACTTTCATATACAAATTAGACGATAAGTTATATATATACACATCAGATGAAAAGTGCATCTTCATTTTGTAGGAAATTCTTTCAATCAAGTAAAAACTCTAATAAAAGTGGGCAAAGAACTTTATTGCAGATTTACAAGTTACTTATATATGTTGGAAAAAATCTTTTGCCTTTCTGGTATAAGAATTTAAATTAAAAGAGGAATGAAATTGTTTTCTGTCCACAATATGTGTGAGGATGTTTTGTACTGCTGCTTAAAGCTTAAGTTGCTGATGACTTTATAAATAGACAATTTGGTGGTAAGTACTACATTTAGAAAATGTGTATACTCTTTGCCCATCAATTCCATTATATTAAAATACACTTAGGAGGTAGAGATACTTGCACTTTGTTTTTTCCAGCACTTATTTTTAAAAGAACAGATAGAATGAATTCTATAAATGAATTTCTGTTGCAGCGAAAAGTGTAATAATATGTGACCATTGAATGTGACAATAGATACAGAATTATGTTGATGTGCGAAGATGTATTTTGTTATAGTCAGCAAGGAAAAAATCAGTTTGATTATACATACACACAAACATACTATGGTCTTGTGTTAAAAAAATGTGTACAAAATATGATAGCATTTTTGATTTCTTGGCATTTGCATTGTAAGTAAGGTTTTTCTTATCTGTGATTGCTGCAGTGAGCATGTACGAGACTTCTAGTAAAAGTTTATTATTAATGGAATAATTCTTAGAAGAGGAATATGAATCTTGACCAGATAAAAATAATCTCTCATTGTTCTGTTTTTTGTTATCATTATTATGATTGTGCATTATTATCTTTGAACTTTTAGCCTCTTCAGAAATAAAAAGGGAATGTTATCTGTCTCCAGATTTTATGTATATATTTTATTATGTACATATACTTTTCTTACATGTAGATTTATCTCATATATGCAAACAATGACAGATTAATCATTTCATTTTACTTGTATTCTTTAAAAATAAAAATAACAAATACAAATTACTATTGCAAAAATACTGCTTTTTAAGAGTTTATTTAAAAATACTGAACTCCCCATCTATATTTATCCATTCTTTCTTTCCATTTATTCATCAAATATAACTTGAGTACCTGTTATATAGCAGACAGATTCTATCTCTTAGGACCCTTCCATCCTTTTTTAAAAACTTCATGTTTACCTGTCCTGTCTGCACAAGCTTAGAGATTTGAAATGGGGATGTTAGAACTTAATCTCATTTAAACTTTATCTCCCATCTTTCAAACAAAAGAATTTCTGAAGTTAGAAAATAGTAGAAGATAACCTTTAGATGCCCTTTCAAAAGTTTTTCAGTCTTAAACACTAATATTAATCGTGGTAAAGTCTGATTTGCATATATTCTCTAAATATAAGTGTTGAATAAAATGATCCATACCTGTTCATTTGAATCATGAGTTTCCTTTGGCTTCAAGTTGTTTGAAAAATCCAAGAATTAATTTGTTTAAAAAGTGTGTTAATGTTATTTCAGTGTTTTTTCTCCATAGTACCTTTAAGAACTGAAATGTATTTACGTGCTGTTTATATCCCTCGAACTGCCCTAGACCTGCCGAGTATACCATATGCTACTTAATGTAAGGACTCATGGATTGTGTGATACCCCATTAATATATATTTCAATAAAATAATTTTGAAAATGCTACCAATTATAGTTGTAATAAATCATGAATTGTAAGTGGCATTCAAATATCAGTGGTGTTAAAAATGTGACCTCTTTAAATCATCCTACAAAGTAGGTATAATTGTATTAATTTACTTAATTAAAAAAATTTTTTTAAGTAGTAGTAATAGAAATAATCCCAGAACTCCGGGAGGCTGAGGTGGGAGGATCGCTTGATGCCAGGAGTTTGAGATCAGCCTGAACAACAAAATGAGATTCTTGCTCTACATAAAATTTTAAATTAGTAGCTGGGCATGCTGGTGCACATCTGTGGTCCCAGCTACTCAGGAGGCTGGGTATGGAGGATTGCTTGAGCCCAGGAGTTCCATGCTAGAGTGAGGTATGATTACACCATTGCACTCCAGCCTGGGCAAAAGAGTGAGACCTTGTCTCAAAAAGTGAAAATCTAACAATGTTGAGTTGTTGCTCTAGGAACTATTTTAAATACCTTGCATAGTTTCTCATTTAACCATCATGATGTCCAATGAGATAGCTATTATTGTTGTTTTTATTAATGAGGAAGTGGAGGCATAGAAAGGCTGAGTGATAGCTGGTAAATTACAAGAGTTTAAAGTAGGACTGAAACCCTAGTTGAACTGAATCCAAAGACCAAGCTCTTTCTATTCATATAGGCTGCTGTTTTCATTAAGATAGTGAACAATAAGAGTTAATAAGTATTATACTTTCTTCAAGAAAAATAAGAAGAAAAACATGCTATTCAGTGTTTACAATTACGTGAATGTATGTTTTGAGATGTTGCACTACACTTTCCTAAAAGGTCCTCTTACTCTTGTACTACTACTGCTCTGCATTTGGCCTGTGCCAATGGCTGTGTGGAAGTGGTCACTCTCCTGGTGAACAGAAAATGCCAGGTTGACATCTGTGACAAAACAGAACACCTTTAATACAGGTATATAGTAGACAACTCTTTCAGCATGACATGGGTTTGATTTATATACATAAAATTAAGTTTATCTTATTTAAATATAACTAGTTGGTGAAACCTGTGGAACGTGTATTTTGAATTCTTAGAATTTACAATCTAATTCTTGATCTAATATGGACAGACTGTACATTGCCAGGAAGAGACTTGTGCCATCATTCTGCTGAAACATGGCACCAACCCACATCTTAAGGATATCTGTGGCATCACTGCTCTTAATAATGCTGGGTATAATGACAGTATGTTACTGGCAGAAAAACTGCTTTCTCGTGATGCAAATATTGAAATAGTGGACAAGGTGTAGATCAAGCAACTTTCTTTTCAAAATATTTGTTTTAACCTTGACATAGGTAAGGATCAATTTTATGTATTTGGAAGCATAAGCATTCGCTGGATGCAAACAAATTAAGTTATTTTGAAATAATTTAATTGTCTAAAATCATATTTTAAATAATGATACTTCGAAAGAAGCATTAAAGGGCACAACTTTTTAAAATACACTTTGGAAAAATTTGTAAATTTCTTAAAGCTAAAACCTTTTCAATTTTTTTAAAATGCAGATTCCCCCCCACCCCCGCATTAATGTAAAACAACACAGGAAAGAAAATATGCCCTGAAAATAGGCTTTATCTTAAAACGCAAGCAAAACTAAAGCAACTTAGAATTAATAGACATTTTGCTGCTGCTGACAGTTTTCTGAAAACCTGATGTATCATCTCTCAGTGGTTAGGCTTAAGAGGGAAAAATGGGAAGGGAAAAGGAGAGCCATCAGGAGTACGCAGGTCACTTGGAAATTAGGTAATAAGGGAAAATGCCAAGAAGAGTTTTTTTTAGTTTGTTGTTCTTCCAGTTTATGTGTTGAGACAAGGTGCTCTTTAGCTTTGCGGCTAATAAATTTTGGTTTGAAAAAGAGAGTGAGTTGAAACTTGGCTAGAGATTTTGGGAGGACTCAGGAAACGATATTGGCAGTGAATATGTGGTGACAAAATGAGAAACACTTCAACAGAAGATGAAACAAATGTTAACTGACTTATTACCCACCCAGGCAGAAACAGCCCCTTAGATCTAAGAGTCTAATTTTATTCTCAAATCTAGAATGTCTTGGTGGAAATGTGGGAGATAAGGAGCTTATTAATAGCAAAATAAAGTTGAATTTTGAGTTTATTTGTTCCTGTTCTACTCATGCCCATAAAAATTAAAGGTAGATTTAATAAATGACTCTATCTCTTAATCTTTTCTTTTTTGGCCATGTTTACAACTGATAAAGGGAATTAGCCATGTGGGTGAGGGATGAGACTGATGTATTACCTGCAGCACTAATTCTCAGAATTGTGCATTATAGTGACCTGAGCATATTTGTTAAAAATCTAAAAGTTTAGGCTTTCCCCTGTAGCTTTTGATGTAATAGATTTAATAAGGCCTGAATGTGTATGTTTAAGAATGTTTTCTTGAAGCTGAGCACAGTGGCATGTTCCTTTAGTCCCAGCTTGAGCCTAAGAGTTTTAATCCAGCTTGAGCAACATAGTCAGACTCTTTAACCACAATAACAGCAAAAAACAACAAAAAAAAAACCCTCGAAGGTTGGATACACTCCTGTTTAAGAACCCCAGAATAGATAAGTGCAATATATACATTTCTGTATCTCAAAAAGTATACAAAATCACCAGAAGAGTTGGCGATTGCTAGGTGCTACTTTCTTCAACGTTCTCGTTTTCAATAAGATTAGCCTGACTTACCTGTCTTTCTCTACGTCTGTGACTGGGAAGTGAAAGGGAGTATTATTGGCAGTATCTCTCATCTTACAGAATAACACCTTTTTTTCTCCACCATTAATCATTCGCTTCCATTCAGAGTCTTTAAATATTTACTTATGGGTAATCTTCAATAAGTAGAGGCTGACTCTTTAATGATTTCATGCCCCTTTGTCACCATACAGGTGATTATGTGTCTACAAATGTTCATTACAAGTTGGATTTTCTCAGTTAAATTAATAGCCAATCCTACATTTTTTTTTTAAGTTGAAGTTATATTATGAACTATCCCGGTATGTCTGTTAAGTTTCTAGATCTTTAGCATAACCAGGATGCCAGCTTTACACACTGAAATCCGTGAAGTTGATATAAATTTGATATGTCAAAATTCTTTTGATTAAAAGAATTTCCATAGAAATTATTTTAAGAATTTAGTTTTGGCAGTCATATAACTATTTGGCTAACAATCTGGGAAAATAATATACAAATAGATTATAAATGAATGCATGTTGGAAAAATTCTTGAAGTGGGTATTTTGAGTCTTAATAGCAATTTTTATTGTATATAAGGGCCTGATTTTTTTTTGGTAAAACATGTGATACTAGAGAAAGAAAATATTTTACATGCACGTACTTGGATTATACACAACCATTTAGTTACAGATTCGTAGCAAATATAAAAACAAAAGGGCTATATTCTAAATGTGCACAGACTTGTTTGCCTCTATAAATTGAGTCAACAGGCAAAATTTAGAAGACTTATGCAGAAATATGGACTTCAGACTTGTCTTAAAAATTCAAACATGGTGTCCCCTGAGTTTCTACCACTGTTGGCCTGCTGTGTACAGGAGGCTCTTTTGTAAAAGGCATATATTCTCCAGTTTGCTACTGTGCCCACATCAGTACTTTCCTTGCTCGGATAACCTTCCTTTGTCCTTGTAGGTATTTGAGTTTACAACTTTTATGTTGTAGTATATTTTGATAAAGATTTCAAGGCTTTTAAGTCAATGCATATTTGCTTATGATATATAGTCTATAGATTGTATAAATCCCTCAGTTATGGGGTTGAATTTTAGAATTTAGTTTAAAACTCTTTTTCTTAATACCACAAACAATCATCTTCCCATACGAATACCTAGAAGGTTTTTTTAGGTTATTCGTGATTATAGTTGGATAGTTTATGAATATTGCAGACGTTATATCTTTCTCCTCAGCAATTTTCCTTAAAAATGCAAGTGACTTAATGACTTTCATTATGCTAGAAATAACTGTATGGATCAGTATGAGAACTTTTATTGATAAGCCATCATATTTATATGTGCTTTATATTTAGCCTAAAATAAAAAATAATTTAAAATAGCCATTTAAATGGAAACCAATAAAAATGGATTTAAAAAGTAGGGTTGCATTAGGGTTTCAGCATTATCATTACAATTGAGAATAAAATTTCTTACTGAGCTTTGTTTTTTTTAATACTTATTTTTAAATTTTTTAACCCTCTCTCTCTTACACAGAACATACTGAGCTTTGTAACAGTTAAGATAAAAATCTGTTCTCTTGTATTAAAAGAAACCCATGGACTATTTAATAATATGGAAAGTATGTGCATTCTAAGCCAATCACTCTTGATTCAGAGCTCATTTCCTTAGTGACCCATTTGGAGCAGGAGTGCCTGATATTGGCATCTGGGATCCTAACAGCATTGATAGAAGTGAATCAGGCAAGTTTGTACCACCCAGAAGAAACCTCCAACTATATCGGGAAGCTCTGGAAACTGTATCTCTGAGACTCTTAATTCCTTAAATTTTAATATTTGCCACAAAAAGTATTGTCAGATGGGTATTAGGTAAAGTTCAAGAGATTTCTTGACTATTGGATATAAAATACAGTTTTGTAATACTTATAAGATTGTCATGGAGTCTTTCTCGGCATACAGTAAGCAAATATTCTTTGGAATATAGTTTAAGAAACACTGCTCTAGAGATAATTTAGATCATTAATTTATGTAAAAAACTTAAAAGTGTTTGCTACTGTGTTTTAAGTTTGGGGGACTATAGAGGTAAAAGATACACGCCTTACCCTCAAGCTCTTGGTTTCAGTGGGAAGCAATGAAGTGATTACAATATACCATACCAAGTGCCTTGATCAAAGCAAGGATTCTGGGACTGGTATGTTTGAAGGGAGTTTCGGTGATGACCACAGTTATGTGGGGAGGCAGTGGAGGGCTGTTTGCAAGGCAGAGAGCAGGACATCAGAAAGCACAGAGGAGTGAGAAGGAAGGGACTGGTTTTCATTTACTTCCTGCCTATATTGTATGTTGAAGTTCAAACATCTTAGAGAAGATTTTTAGTTTATTTGAGAAATTTGTAATTTTGTGAATTATTGCTTTTGCTGTTTCATAGAACGGGAACACACCACTTTTGTTTGCTATAGTTTGCAAGAGAGAGCAAATGGTGGAATTTTTAGTGAAAAACCAAGCAAATGTATGTGCTGTTGATAGGCTGAGACAGTACAGTAGTTTTTGTTTAAAATAAAAACCTGAGTGTTGTAGAGTGGAGTCACTCAAGTCAGAAATATTTATAAGATTAACATAATTACAGGCATATAGTGAAAAATATCAACACAAATAATCAGGTAGAAAAGCAAATACCTGGACTAAGCAACGTAAAGAACATATAGTAAGATACGTTTTCTCTTACAATATTGTTATTTGTATTCGGATGTTTTTGATCTTGTAATCTTATATTAGCTAAAGGTTTTTGTATTTTATTAATTTTTGAATTGTGGACTTTTAGTTTATGACTACTAGTATTATCATTATTATTATTATTTATTGTTTTCAGGCTGTAGATGGCTCTTATCTGACTGCTAGCTGATATGAATTACAATATATCAGACTAGGAAAGCAATGGGAAAATCTTCATTTAAATCTTTGCCTGCTTTAGATAAATGACCTCAGCACAGTTTCTTGGCCATCAAGGGACTATAAGTTAGCAACTTGTATTATGTCATACCCCAGTGGAACAAGAGAATTCCTTGTTGTCCCTTCCTTTTAGCCTTGGTGATAATTTACAAAGATGAACACTTGAGCACCCAAGATGCTTATAGACACAAGCTAGTACATGTAAATGGTTATTATGTCTACATTGACAGGCAGAAGATTAAATTGATAAAGTGTATCAAACTACCTCTTTAGTAATGACGTTATTAAAGTTCTTGAATGGAGTTATTTCTTTGTTATTTTAGAACAGCCCTCATGCTTCCTGTACATTATGGCTCATCAGGTATTGTCAGTATTTTTCTTCAGCAAAATATTAATGTCTTTACTCAAGATATGTGTGTATGAGATGCAGGAGATTATGCTATTTATTGTGGTTTGACAAGGTAAGTGTTTGTATTAAAAGGCCAGTTAATACTAAATTGATGTTTAAAATAGTTGCAACCATTGAATCTTATACATTAGGTGAGGGTTCATAGTTTGGTTCAGGTCATTTGAAATAGCAAGAGTTAGTCCACTTTTTAGCTAGAAATCAAGCAGAAGGCTAGATTAGTTAGAAATAGAATGCAAGATTCTTTCAGGACTTTTAAGACCTTTATACCTAGGGATTTCAATGTGGTTTATTTTATTCTAAATGTAATCCCCATGCATCAGATGAAAATAGAGCCACATCTTTGACTTCTGTTTTCTTCATTTCTTTCTTTTTCTATTTTGTAGACGCAAGGTCTCACTAGGTTGCCTAGGCTGGTCTTGAACTCCTGAGCATAAGTAATCCTCCTGCCTCAGCCTCTGAAAGTGCTAGCCACCATGCATGGCCTGACTTTTCTAATGAGTTACTGGGTCTTGAAATGTTCAGTTTAACAGAAATCTTATATTGTCCCCTGGGGCTATCTCCTGTGTCTTCCTCCTTTGAATTTTCTGAGAAACTAAGATGTTTTCTAAGTCCAAGGAAGGCAATCTTTCTTTACAAGTCAGAAGGGGGAAAAATGGACATTCTAATTCTGTTGTTTCCATGGATTCACTTGCTGTATTGATGCCATTGTAACTGGTCCTGTAATCTGATAATGATTGACCTTGGCCACTAGGATGCATTTACTGATTCAGACCCCTCAGTTTTCTTGGTGATTCATACATAGAGTTCAAAGCTACAGTGTTTATTAGTTTATGTATGTATGCTCAGGCATTGTTCCCAGCACCCTTCTCTGGGAGCCATGCCTCCTAGCTTTACCCACACAAATAGTAAGCAAATTGATGCTTCCCCTATACTAAAAACATTATTTGGAGCCCACATCTTAGGTAGACTTAGCCCAGACCTTCATGGTAAGTTATCCTTTGAGACCCCTGTTGCTATTTTCTCTTAACAAATTTTAGTTGAGATTGTTCCCACCAGTCAGAGATGTTCAAATGTTGCAGGAAGAGATTAGATTTCCCTTTCCCTTTTGCTATCAGATTTGTATCTTGAAGCTTTTTTATATCTTGTGCAGCAGCTTTGCTTAGATAGCAGAAGGTTCTATGTTACCTTTCCACAGAGCACTGGGAACCAACTTGCAGTTGGCCCTTGAAGTAATCCATTTCTACAATAATAAAGATCTCCCAGGCCACTTGCCTATCTACCTCAAGTTTTAAAGTTCAACCTCACAGGAAGCCATTTGATAAAATTCTCTAAATCTCAATTAGGTGAGTTGGATTGAACAGAGCTAAGCTTCACCTATGACTCATGAGTATCCATGTATAAAACAGGGCTTTGTCCCTGTTTCAGCAGCATATACTTTAATATGGGACCAATAGAGAGCAGATAAGCATAAGCGTGGCTGCTGCCTAAGGATGGCATACAGATTCATAAAGCATTCCATATTTTGCATTGCCCCAGAAGGTCATTTGACTATTTGTTGACCAGCTCCAAGGAAGCAGTGTGAGTCAAACTGCAACAGGAGATGCCTGATATTGAAATTGTGATTATCACTATAAAACTATTGATGTACAGTGATCTATGAAAGGAGAACATAGCTGAGTAACATGTGGGATGTTACATGCAAATATATTGTTAGTACATGTCTTGGAATTGGGAAAAAGTCAACTTGCAATTCCTTCATAAACCGGAAAAACAATAAAAGCAGGGTTTTTTTTCTTATATGTTAGTTGGAGAGGACCATGGCGATCCAGCATCCTGGCACAGATGTGCTGGCTCGGAGTTTGAGGAGGTAGAGAAGGAGTGGTGGTTGTCCAAGCCAGGTTTTGACATCTGTTAATTTTCTGCTCTTGCCGTGATTGATGAGCTCAGTAATAGGGGACAATTATGTTATCTATTTTAATTGGATATTTATATATAAATTTAGTTACAAGTTTTGAATTAGCAAAAATGCCCTGAAATACAAGCCACAATAAATACAACTAATAAACAAAATTAGCACTTAACATTTTATGAAAACTGTAACATTTGAATATTAGAACCTATGGAAAAACACACATCAAGCTTCATTTGGGACTCTAAAATAGTTTCAGCAATAAAGTTTAAGAATAAATAATTCCATTGCTTTACTATTTCTCTGAACATTTAAGCATGTAATCTCATTACATCTTCCTAACAACCTAGTGAAGTAAGTTAGCAAAATCCTTATTTTTTAGAAGAAACCATGGAGCCTAAGAGGAGCAACTTGTCTGAACACAAATACCTATTGGTTACAGAGCAAGGACTTGTTCTGAGTGCGGGATACTTTGCATGATGTCTAGCTAACTATAGTTAATATACTGAGCTGTGCTCCTTCCATTTATGAGTACTTCACTTTTTTTTTCTTTAATTAAAAGATTAATAAACTTGTAAAGCTTAAAATTTTGAAGTGTATGGTACAGAAACTAAAGCTCTGGTATTAGTGTTGATATTGCCTTAAATGGTTTAAGAATTTAATATGTTTGGTAAATATTTTTTATTTTAGTATTAAAATAGCAATTTTATTTATTACTTTTTTTATACATAGAATTTGACACCAAATTTTGGAACTTAAAAAGAAGCTACTTCAAGGCAAGTGAGATTTCTGATACTAAATTTCTCACTTGTCTTGTTGGTCCTACTCTTGATAAAAGAGAAAGATGTAAGATTAAGGTAGTTTTAATGGAAAGAGACCAGTTAAAAAATATGTGTAAATTGCAAATATATATGTATGTATATACATATATGTAAATTAATTTTCAAAATTTAACTTCTTTAGTGTGGAAATCAGAGTTATTTAAGAAGTTGTATCTAATTTATAATCTGAAACAGTATTGTTTGAAAAAAAATCATTTACTTAATTACAATCCCTAAAATTCTATATAATATTTTTTGCATAAATAAGAAAGATTGTTAGTTTGTTGTATGTTTTCTCTATAGTGACATTATGACAAATTGAACTTGTTATACACAAGGATCTTCTATTTTATTTTTATAATAAATTGTTTGCATTTAGTAAATAAATAATTATAGTTGACCCATGAATAATGTGGGGGTTAGGGACTCTAATCTTTGTGCAGTTGAAATCTGAGTATAACTTTTATTTTTCCTATCTTAGCTACTAGTAACCCACCATTGACTGGAAGACTTCCTGTTAACATAAACTGTCCATTAAAACCTATTTTATTTGTGCTGCATTATTATATGCTGTGTTCTTACAACAAAGTAAACTAGAGAAATGAAGCTGTTAGAAAATCATCAGAAAACATATATTGACTTTTCCTTAAACAAGTGGATCCTTGCAAAGGTCTTCATCTATGGATTTCAGAGGCAGAAGAAAATCTGCATATAAGTAAACCTCTGCAGTTCGAACCCTTGCTGTTCAAGTGTGAACTGTGTCACGTATTAATTTTTGTCACTAAGAAAGTAACTAGAACTGGGAACTCAGCAATCCCTTTGTCTTGCTATAAGTAAATGGCAATAAGAACTGTAAAATTGAACCAGCGTGCACCCATACAAATTGGAGATTATGTTTTGGAGTACCTACTGAGTGCAGAAGACAGAAAAACAATTCCTTCCTGAGAAGTACATGTTACACATTGTTACATAAGCAAAATGGCTTTATCTGTCATCATTTACACGCACACACATACATGTGCTCTTGCACGTGCATATGTACACACAAATAAGTTAAAAGTCCTGCTGATTCTTTATGACCAAATCCACTATTTGCAGGGAGCAGTGGATAACACATCCTGCAGTTTGGATGCAGTTCTTTTGACTTTTTGGCTTGTTCTGTGATGAACTGCCTTTAATGTGTGAACCATGTTTCTAGTTTTATAAGAAATAAAAGATTAGAAGCAAGTAAAAGGAACTCTATGATCAGTAGTAGACTGTTGTACTTTACTCAGTGGTCGTATGTTTTTCTCCAGGTATGCAGGTTACTTGAATGATGAGTCCTCCAGTTATACAAGTTACTTAAATAATTAATTAATTAATTATTATTATTATTATAAGAAATGGGGTCTCTCTGTGTTGCCCAGGCTAGAATATAGTGTCTATTCAGTGGTACAATTACAGCTCACTGTAGTAGCCTTGCTTCTGGGCTTAATCAGTCCTCCTACCTCATTCTCCTGAGTAGCTGGGACCGTAGTCATGTGTGATTACATCTAGCTGTATACATAATTATTTATCAATTGATTTGTTTATCTGTTTATTTTTGAGACAGTGTCTCCCTCTGTTGCTAGAACTTGAGTGTAGTGGTGCAGTCTTGGCTCCCTGCAACCTCTGCTTTCTGGCCTTAAATGATCCTTTCACCTCAGCCTCCCAAGTAGTTGGGACTACAGGCATACACAACCATGCTTAGCTATTTTTCTTTTTAACATACGTATGTATGTATGTATGTATGTATGTATGTATGTGTGTATTTTTTAGACGAGGTCTCACTATATTGCCCAGGCTGGTCTGGAACTTCTGAGCTCAAGTAATCCTTCTGCTTCAGCCTCCCAAAATGCTAGGATTTTACAGGTGTGATCTACAGCACCTGGCATGCACAATTGTTATAAAAAGAAATTAAGCCCCAATTGAATTGCAGAAAATTGACTACCTTTTATTATTTTTTTGTTTTAAGGAACATTCATATTGTAGAACATACTGTCAGTCATCAAGATTCTCTATTTTTTTAAAATTCTGGTTAAACTAGGATTGCTGCTTATTTCACATTATTTTCTGAAATAATTGTTTTATTTATTTCTTTTATGGCTTTATTCAATTAGATATAGAAATACCAGAATCTCCAAGTGAAATATCAAGGAGAAAAAAGAAAATAACAGATTAGGGAAAGTTATTCTGTGAAATAACCATCTGATGACATTCACATATATTATTATCAACTTAATAAAAATCTATATGATACATTTGTGTCAAGCATTTCCAGACCAACCCCAGGATTGATGATTCAGTAGAAGGTCTCACAGGACTCAGAAAATAATCATACTCATTTCTTTAATTTATTACAATGAAAGGGTACAGGTGAAATTAGAGGGAAAAGGTGCTTGTGGTCAAGTCCAGAGGAAACCAGGTATAAGTTTCCAGGAGTTTTATCCTGTGGCGTTCCCAGGATCTGCTTAATTCTCCCAGCCTCATATTTTGACAACATGTACAGTGATGTCTACTAGTACCAGAATCTCATTAGAGACTCATTACCCAAGTTTCTTAAATGGAGG